AGTTAGCAAGTGGTAGAGCTGGTCCTAAAATCCAGGCTTCAGGCATTACAACATCAGTGCTCCTGTCTCTTTGGGGTACTGCCTTTGGAAGCCAACTCCTTACACAAGCAACATCAATATGCAGAAATATAATCTGTATCTTTGCAGGGGTTTTAAATCATGATCATATAAGAGTGGATAGATGTTATTCAACATGAAAAAGGACAATAAAAGGGAGCTGAGCTTAAATGCAACCTAGAGTTATATGACATAAATAAAAATACTCTGGAAGGAAACATTCCCCAGAAATAATGCAGGAGGGCTGGGTTAGATGATTTTAGGATTATGACAAGCAAACTGGTAATATCTTACTCATTAAACTAAAGGAAACAAAATAAGTCAATATTAAATTGAAACAGAGTTTTACCATGAGCCCACCATGGACACCACCGTCTCTGAGATTGGGGGGCATATTCCGCCAAGTCCATGGAGTGTAGCCACTTCATCACTTGACGGTTGGTCCACTGCTGAATCGCTGATGGAGCGATGCTATTCTATGGGAACAAACGATCACCAAGAGCTTCAGTTGTTGACCACAGAATCCAAAATATTAATCTGCATGTTCCGTCTAAAAAATCTGTCCCATGGGGCACAATTACTTGACACCTCACTCAATGCTTAGAGAAAGGAGACAAAGTGTTTTCTAATTTGAAGTCTCTTTTAAAGAATTCATGTCACAGAGTTTCAAGCTTTCCTTCACACTAGGAAAGCATTGCTTTAGGAAAGGAATTCATTAGTGTGATATTTGTGGATTAAAGAGGCGGGAAAAAAACCACCCAAGAAAAGAAGAAAGCATCGCTGAAAAGCAATCTTTGGCTTTAGTTACACAAGTGGAACCACCATGAGGGGGTGGGGGTGGCAGGAAGGAGTACAGAAAAACAAAGTCCAAGAATAAATGAGGCTGGATTTGAGGCTGTGAGGAGGCCAACTCCTCCTGCAGGCTCCAAGGAGAAATGGGTCTCAGTTTTACACACATGAACAGTCACATGCGTGGAAGTGCAGCCTGTAAGCCTCGATCTTAAAATGCCACCTTGTCAGACAGCTGCCTCCAGAGACAGTGTGGATCATATTCACACACCCTCAGGACCTGAACGGCCCTTTTCACGCTGACACAGTGAAGCTCGCTGACCATGTTCAAAGACAGTCGGTCATCCTGTAAAAAAGAACAAAAAGAGGAGCTCATTGTGAAACCGCCCTTCACACGAGTCAAAAACAGGGTGCAGGGTGAGAACTGTGGTAAGGGTCTAGCTAAAAATAATGATAATAATTAGTCACTGTCCCCCTGCTTTGCTTCTCTACTGCCACTCCAGAGCCATGCAGCTGGTGGTCATAAAGATTCTTAACTTTCTCCATAGATAATACCACCTTTTCCAAACCTAAAGGTAGTTTCTGAGATATCTTCCAGGCCCCGCCTTCCAGTGGATTGACTGACCCACCCAGACCAGCGGCCCATACCAAGAAACCAACTCAGCTGGAATTGTGACCCCAGGGACTGGAGCAACACAACAAGATGAGCTCTACATCCCTATAATCTCGCCTCAATTAATGAACCTAATTGCCTAATCCCTTGCCTGCCCAACTATTCTTAAAAATTCTGTCTCTCAAATTCTCGGGAAGGCAAATTTGAGAAAATTCTCCCGTCTCTGTGCCTAGCTCTACATAGAGTAAACTCTTTCTCTGCTGTAAAACCTGCTGACTCAGCATATTGTTTTCTTCCTGGGCAGCAGGCGAATGAACGTGGCTGGGCAGCAACGACTGTGCTGGCCTGTAGCAGGGGACTTTCTTAGGGAACCTCAGAAACCTGCAAGAAAAGCAGAAGAGCCCCTCAAACCAATATGCCCCAAGGGCTTGTCTGTGTTTTCGAAGCTTTTATTTAGTAACCCAACCCTTTTTTCTGTTCTAGACAAAATCCTCTCCAGAATCCCAAACTAAATGTTCTTCCCAGTGAAGCCAACTTCTAGTGCTTTCTCTCTCCTCCAAACCCTCTGGAATTCCTCTGTTTCCTCCTGAGCTTTGAGAACTTTACCTGCAGATAAAGCACATCCTTGGGCACTGGCCAAACTGCCCTCTCTTTTTCCAATCAGCAGATAGATAAGAGCAAGCCATGCTCACTGGTGATCAAGGCTTGGCTTTCTGAACCAAGGCACATTTTAGTTTTGGGGAAAATCACAAGAGTGCTCTTGTTACACCATTCTCTGGCCCTAAAATTCTCTAGTTATAGATTATTATGCTTTAGCAGACATTGTGAACCATTTTGGAAAAACTATGTCAATCAGTGCAAAGGTTTTGGCGACAGTTAAGGAGATAAAAGAAATGAAGTCATACTTATCACAGATATGACCAATCAACCACTTCAAGGAAAAACTTTCACCAGTCTGTGGCTATTGGGAACATTTTCAAATATACCAAACACACCGAAAGAAATTATTTCAGAAGAAGGTGATTTGGGGGCCAGTGTAAAGATAAGCACCAGTTACTTCCAAACATACCCAGAAAATAAACAACAAAAACATCCATTTTAGACATACCTTACTGATAACACATTTCTTATGAAAAATAAAAAGGAAAAAAATTAATCTACCAT